GTAGTTGGATGCAAGATTGAAGATGACAGGCCAGCATCAGCTTTTGAAATGTGAGTGTGGCGGGAGATGCTTAAAATTAACTGGATTGGAAGAAATGCAATGAACATAGAACAGTACAGCACATTACAGGCCCTTCGGCCCACGATGTTGTGCCAACCTATTATACTACTAATATCAATCTACCCTGCATACCCTACATTTTACTATCCTCCATGTGCCTTTCCAAGAGTCGCTTAAATGTCTCTAAAGTATCTGACTCCACTACCGCTACCAGCAGCACATTCCACGCACCCACCACTCTCTGTGTGAAGAACCTACCTCTGACATCTCCCCTATAACTTCCTCCAATCACCTTAAAATTATGCCCCGTTGTGATAGTCATTTCTGCCCTGGGAAAAAGTCTCTGACTCTCTACTTTATCTATGCCTCTCATCATCTTGTACACCTCTATCAAGTCACGTCTCATCCTTCTTCGCTCCAATGAGAAAAGCCCTAGCTCCCTCAACCTTTCCTCATAAGACCTGCCCTCCAGTCCAGGCAGCATCCTGGTAAATCTCCTCTACACCTTCTCTAAAGCTTCCACATCCTTCTTGTAATGAGGTGATCAGAACGGTTTGATTGGAGCAAGTGTAGGAGAAACTGTTGTATAGTAATCTTTTCCTTTCAGATTTATAAACTGGAGAATGGACGTTGGACACAATTCTTCATCTAAAAGCACCTGGAGAGTTTCATAAGCTGGAGATCAAGTGGTTGTACATTCTACACTGTTCTGAGGAAGAGTCACCGGACCCGAAACATTAACTATGATTGTTTTTCTTCACAGCTGCTATCAGACCTGCTGAGCCTTTCCAGCAACTTCTGTGCTTGTTGTACATTGTAGCTGTACAAGGTTATGTTACTTTTCAGCGCAGTGTGGAGAATACCTTATGAGGCAAAGAGGCTCTAGGAGTTGAGGACAACCTGGCTAATAAGAGCCTTTGGATTAGTCCAGCTAGAGATTGTTCGAGACCTGTGAGTGGACACTCTGAGACATCCGGAAGCCTGTAAACAAGATGCTTCTCTCACCATCTCTCTCCGTGACAAAAAAGCTGGACACTCTTAAAAAGAAAGAATTCTAACGCAAGACCAGATCAGCTATTGAATCAAGAATCAACCATTGCTCTGTGGACAATAAAATCAAAAGAACAGTCAGAAATAACTCTTCACCTTTGTGGTCCGGACTTTGATCTCCAGAATTGTTCTCCCTGTCTACATTTTTCCATCATCATATTTCTGCCAAACTGCCTGCTTTTGTCTGTCTTATTAATGAATAAGCATGAGCGAGTGCGTGCATTTGGGAGTCTTTTTTTTCGGTCGGTTCTTAAAAAGTAAGTTTGTTTATAATAAATGGACTGAGGGAAGATTGACGAAAACCGGAGAAAAAGACAGCCAATGCCAATTGCCCCAGGAAGACTACAGTGACACATGTATAAATGAATAAATCCATGTTTGGAGTAAGAATTTTCAGAAAATACTCCACTAACATTACAAAGCTATCAAACAGAAAAATATGGGTCACTGCCAATAATTTGAAGGAAATGTTTCAACACTAAATAAGATCTCATTGAAATAAATTAGACTTATTGGTGGATGAATGTTGCCAATGAGATATTATATTTCATTCATTTTTCATGTGCGGCAAATTCTCCTGTTTATATACAGATATTCACAACACTAAAAATGTCAGGGTGTTCAGTAACTCCCTATTGCAAGTGCAACTTTACACTATCCTGTTTTCCAGCCTTCTCAAAGCAAGGAAAGACAATATATCCTTAAGTGTTGCTCTAATATTATGATTTTACAACACAATCATTGGCTGGATTTTTTTAAGCTAACACAATGCATGTTTAGTATCTGGAATGCACTAATGCTGTGATGGAGGAAGATTTAACTATAGCTGTCAGAAAAAGCAAAGGGGAATCATTTGGGGAGAAAAGAATTACAGAGCTACGGGGAAAAGGAGACAGAGTAAGACTAGGTAAAGTGTGGATACGATGGACTGAAAAGCCCCCACCTGTGTTGTGATTCCATGTAAAAGTTTTAAAGGACAATTGGGAATACTGGGAAGCAGGTAGAGAAGCTGGCCTTTGGCTGTGTTCTCATTCAAGAGTTTGGATTCAAGGTAGATTGATGGAAGAGAAGGCAACAACTGCCTTCAGGTTTGGGCTTCTTCACTAACACAATTTATTGCATATTAGAACTAAAGACTATGATACATGGCAGTCAGAGATATACCAGGCTCTAATCTTACTGTTACATTATTAAAAGACTATTCCATAAACTCTACTACCTTATCCAAATCAGACTGCTCTGCACATGCTTCTTTCTTCTACCTTAACTCTGCCCACACTGTGCTATTTAAGCCCAATGAAGTGTGGATCCTTCACATCATCACTGGCTGTTCAAGGGTCCTAAAGACCTTATACATTATTTTACACACTGAAGGTTGATCCATCCATCCCATTTTTGTGTACACAATGCTGCCCTGTGTAGCATGGGTCATTATATCATAAACATACAAACAAAATCCAAACGTACTCAATCAGATACTTGATTGATAAATGCATTGACAAATGCATTTTACACAGCATAAATCAAATGTCAAATAAATGTTAAATAAATGTCAAAAAATATTAATATTATTTTAACCAGAAGGTTTACATGTGGAAAGTGATGAAATTTACCGCGTTTCCATGTATTTGGGTGTGATTTGTACATTACAGAGAAAATAAACGAATCTAAGTCATTTGATGTGGTAAATGAAGTCTGCAACAAGCCAAAGCAATTTAGACTGATCTCAATAATTTACCGATTAACATTTCCCACAGAAAGGAAACACTGTTGATCACGTGTTTATCTCAAAGTAATGGGTAGCCTCTCTTTGATTGCACTGTCTCAGTCTAGTTGGTCACATCAGGTCAGTTAGAGTACGAATAACTACTTAGATAAGAACGTGTACATAGGCAGACTACACCCTCGTACATTTTGAAGGATGAGAAAAATAGACATCTCTGACGACCACGTAGGAAGTAAAGAGGTGGTTCAAAACCATCACAACTTTGATGTGAGGAAAATAAGAACACAGAAACTTGTCTTCTTCACCATATGCAACCATAAGAAAAAGGAACAGGAATATGCCATTCAGCCCCTCAAGCTTGCTCCACCATTCAATAGGATCATGGCTGATCTAACATTATTCCTCAAGTCCATTTTCCTGTCTTTTCCCCCTAATGCTTGATTTCCTTCCTGATCAGGAATCTATCTCAGCCTTAAATATACACAAGGACTCTGCCCCCATAGCTCTCTGTGGCAATGTCTTCCAACCCTCTGAGAGAAGACATTTTTCCTCATCTCAGTTTTAAATTGGCGCCCCTTTATTCTGTGCCTGTGCCCTCCGGTTCAAGGGGAAACATCCTCTCAGCATTGACCCTGTCAAGGCCCCTCAGAATGCTACAAGTTTCAATGAGATCACCTCTCATTTTTCTAAATTTCAACGAGTAGAGCCCCACCCTGGATAGCTTTTGCTGATAAGATGATCTCTTCATACCAGGAATCATCCGAATGACTGATCATCAGCCTTAACTCTATCGTAACATTCTGATTTATTAATGAAATGAAGACAGACTGTAGGACTCTCTTCATTTCATTAAAGGATTCAGTGGTTAGCACTGTTGCCTCACAGCGCCAGGGACCCGGGTTCGATTCCACCCTCGGACAGCTGTCTGTGTGGAGTTTGCACATTCTCCCCGTGTCTGCGTGGGTTTCCTCTGGGTGCTCCGGTTTCCTCCCACAGTCCAAAGATGTGCAGGTTAGGGTGGATTGGCCATGATAAATCACCCATAAAGTCCAGGGATGTGTAAATTAGGCGAATTAGCCATGGGAAATGCAGGGTTACAGGGAAAGGGTAGGGGGCTGAGTCTGGGTGGGATGCTCTTCAGAGGGGTGGTGTGGACTTGTTGGGCCGAATGGCCCGTTGTTACCACACTGTAGGCATTCTATGATTCTATGACTCCGACATACAGAGGGATCCGGGAGTTCTGGGCCATGAATCACAAAATTTAGTATGCAGATTCAGCAAATAATTGGGCAAGTAGAATGTTGTTTATTGCAAGGGGAACAAAATGTAATCTCAGAACTGTTATGGCACAGAAAGAGGCCATTCAACTGATTGGACCTGTCCCATTTCTATCCCCTCGTGCCAACCTCCTATCTTTTTTCCATATCCCTGCGCACTGTTTCTAGCCAAGCAATCATCCAATGCCCCCCCACTAGTGAAACCAGCCTCCACCCAATTCCTGACAGAACATTCCACATAGGGTGCAGAATTCCAAAGATTCCCAGTCCTTTGAGCAAGGACATTTCTTCTCATCTCAGTTCTAAATGTCCAGCTCTTTCCTGAGACTGTGCTCCCATGTTTTGGATTCCCCAACCAGGGGAAAATGTCCACCTAATCAACTCCTTTTAGAATCACGTTATGTTTCAATTGGATCAAATCTCTTCCTTCAATAGTCTCGAGAGAATAGGTCCAATTTACTCAGCCTCTCATCCCAGGTTAATCTTCTCATTCCAGCTCCCTGCTTCCTGAAGCTTGGCTACACCATCTTCAAGGCAAGTGCGGCCTTCCTTAAACACAGAATCAAAAACTGAACACAATATTCCAGACGTGGAAGGACTGGTACAATTGTACAAAACCTCTTCACTCCTCCAATCGCCTTGCTATAAAGGCCAACATGCCATTTGCTTTATTAATTCTTTGCTTTTTCACACTAATGCTACGTTTCCCTTTGGACAAATGCCACCCAAATCCCTCTGAACCCCAACATTTCTTTGAGCAAAGAAACCTTTCCTCAATTTAATCCTAAAAATGTTGAAATTAATTCTTCTCAAATAATAAAGAGGAATAATTGGAGGAGAAGATTGAAGTGTTCCACCAACATGATAAGGGATAGTTGTCAACTTACTGGACTTCCATCCACACCAGGTGATCCCCTCTCTCCAAAGTTTCCTGGAAATCCCTGTGGAGAGGAGAAATATGTGATCAGCACAAAAATAGAAAAACAGTTTTGCTAAATGATGCAGCATCATGTTTGGCTGAAAAATCAACAATGACATTCTAGACATTTCAGTGAAGCTGCCTGCTTTCTGCTTCTCCAAGGCAGGGTAATGCAAAGTAGTGGATTTTTTGATGAGGTTATTAAAACAGTTTCACAGAAACATAGAAAATAGCAGCAGGAGTGGGCCATTCAGCCTTTCAATGTGATCATGGCTGATCATCCAACTCTGCCCCCTGTTCCCACTGTACCTTTCGATTCCTTTAGCCCCAAGAATTGTATCCAACTCCTTCTGGAAAATAGCCAATGTTCTGGCCTCAACCGCTTTCTGCGGCAGAGAATGCCACAGGCTCCCCACTCTCTGGGTGAAGACATTTCTCCTCAGCTCAGTCCTTGAACTGTGACCCTGGACTCCCAGGCCATCAGGAAGATCTTTGCTGTCTACTTTAAAGTTTGTAGGTTTCCATGAAACATCCTCCTCCCACCCGTTCATTCTTCTAAACTCCAGTCTCTTGTCATACATCAGTCCTGCCATCGAAGAATCAGCCTGATCAACCTTCACTGCACTTCCTTCAGAAATAGAACATTGTTTTACCAATGTCTGTGGCGGTCTCTTGGAATGAGGATGTTGTTTGTTCTGGGTGAGAACGTCCACACAGAGTCTTTATACACAGGGAGGCTGTTAGGCTGAAGCTACCAAGGGTACTAGCTGGCCAGGAACACTCCCTGCTTACTGCCTGCCATGGGTGCATCAGGAAGATTTACAGATTGATTGAGAGCAAAATACTGAGGATGTTGGAGAGCTGTAATAAAATCAGAGAATGCTGGAGAAACTCAGTGGGTCGGGAACCATCTGTGGAGAGAGAAACAGAGTTAATGTTTCTTGTCTGATGTGGCTCTTCTTTGGAACCGAAGGGAACTCCGATACTCGATGTACACCTCCAAACAGGCATGAGCTGGTGTAGGTGTCATGGAGATCGGGGGGGAGCATAAATTTTGCCCATTGTCCCTGCTTTGAAACAATTAGAGCTTATAGGGTAGACAATGGCCTACTGGTATTATCACCAGACTATTCATCCAGAGACCCAGCTGATGTTCTGGGGGTTAGAGATAGTAGGAACTGCCGATGCTGGAGAATCTGAGATAACAAGGTGTGGAACTGGATGAACACAGCAGGCCAGGCAGCATCAGAGGAGCAGG